TGTCTCTCAGTTTCTCTCTCTGCCTCTGTCTCTCACGGTTTTTCTCTCTGCCTCTGTCTATCTCTGTTTCTCTCTGTCTCTCTCAGTTTCTCTCTCTGCCTCTGTCTCTCACGGTTTTTCTCTCTGCCTCTGTCTATCTCTGTTTCTCTCTGTCTCTCTCAGTTTCTCTCTCTGCCTCTGTCTCTCTCTGTTTTTCTCTCTCGCGCGCTCTCAGTTTCTCTGTCTCTGTCTGTCTCTCTCTCAGTTTCTCTCTCTGCCTCTGTCTCTGTTTCTCTCTCTCTCTGTTTCTCTCTCTGTATCTGTCTGTTTCTGTCTCTCAGTTTCTCTCTCTGCCTCTATCTCTCTGTTTCTCTCCCTCGCACTCAGTTTCTCTGTTTCTGTCTGTCTGTCTGTCTCTCTCAGTTTCTCTCTCTGCCTGTCTCTCTGTTTCTTTCTCTCTCTGTTTCTCTCTGTCTCTGTCTCTCTCTCTCAGTTGCCCTCTCTCTCTCTGCCTCTCTCTGTTTCTCTCTCACTCTGTTTCTCTCTCTGTCTCTGTCTCTCTCTCCTGTCTCTCTGTTTCTCTCTCTGTGTGTCTCTCTGTTTTTCTCTCTCTACCTCTGTCTGTTTCTCTCTCGCGCGCGCTCTCAGTTTCTCTCTCTGCCTCTATCTCTCTGTTTCTCTCCCTCGCACTCAGTTTCTCTGTTTCTGTCTGTCTGTCTGTCTCTCTCAGTTTCTCTCTCTGCCTGTCTCTCTGTTTCTTTCTCTCTCTGTTTCTCTCTGTCTCTGTCTCTCTCTCTCAGTTTCTCTCTCTCTCTCTGCCTCTCTCTGTTTCTCTCTCACTCTGTTTCTCTCTCTGTCTCTGTCTCTCTCTCCTGTCTCTCTGTTTCTCTCTCTGTGTGTCTCTCTGTTTTTCTCTCTCTACCTCTGTCTGTTTCTCTCTCGCGCGCGCTCTCAGTTTCTCTCTCTGCCTCTGTCTGTTTCTCTCTCGCGCTCTGTTTCTTTCTCTGTCTCTGTCTGTCTCTGTCTCTCTCAGTTTCTCTCTTTGCCTCTGTCTCTCTCTGTCTCTGTCTGTCTCTCTCTCCCTTTGTTTCTGTCTATCTCTATCTCTGTTTCTCTCTCTCCCCCTGTTATGTCTATCTCTCTTTCTCTATCTGTTTCTCTCTCTCTCTGTCTCTCTTTGTTTCTCTCTGTTTCACTTTCTCAGTTTCTCTCTGTCTCTGTCGCTCTCGATTTCTCTGTCTCTGTTCCTCTCTCTCTCTGTCTCTCTCAGTTTCTCTCTCTCTCTGTCTCTCTGGGTTTCTCTATATCTGTCTGTTTCTCTCTCTCCTATTTCTCGATTTCTCTCTCTCTCTGTTTCTCTCACTATGTGTTTCTCTCTCTGCCTCTGTCTCTCTGTTTCTCTCTGCCTCTGTCTCTTTCTGTTTCTCTCTCTCTCTCTCGGTTTCTCTCTCTCTCTCTCCTGTCTCTCTCATTTCTCTCTGCCTCTGTCTCTCTCAGTTTCTCTGCCTCTGTCTCTCTCAGTTTCTCTCTCTGTTTCTCTCTCTGTCTCTCTCTCCCTCTCCCTCTCTCTGCCTCTGTCTCTGTTTCTCTCTCGCTCAGTTTCTCTCTCTGCCTCTGTCTGTTTCTCTCTCTCTCTCTGTTTCTTTCTCTGTCTCTGTCTGTCTCTGTCTCTCTCAGTTTCTCACTTTGCCTCTGTCTCTCTCTGTCTCTCTCTGTCTGTCTCTCTGTCCCTTTGTTTCTGTCTATCTCTATCTCTGTTTCTCTCTCTCTCCCCCTGTTATCTCTCTGTCTCTATCTGTTTCTCTGTCTCTCTGTCTCTCTGTTTCTCTCTGTTTCTCTGTTTCACTTTCTCAGTTTCTCTCTGTCTCTGTCTCTGTCTCTGTCTCTNCTCGCTCTCAGTTTCTCTCTGTCTCTGTCTGTCTGTCTGTCTCTCTGAGTTTCTCTCTCTGCCTATGTCTCTCTCAGTCTCTCTCTGTCTGTTTCTCCCTCTCTCTCGCCTGTCTCTCGATTTCTCTCTTTCTCTATCTGTTTCTCTCACTGTGTTTCTCTCTCTCTCTATCACTTTGTTCCTCTCTCTGTCTCTGTCTGTTCCTCTCTCTCTCTCTCTCTCTCTCTCTCTTTGTTTCTCTCTCGGTTGCTCTGTTGCGCTCCCTCTCTCTCTTTTTCTCTCTTGGCCTCTGTCTGAATGTTTCTCTCTCTCTCTCTCTCGGTTTCTCTCTCTCTCTCGGTTTCTCTCTCTCTCTCGGTTTCTCTCTCTGTTTCTCTCTCTCTCTCTCCTGTCTCTCTCGTTTCTCTCTGCCTCTGTCTCTCTCAGTTTCTCTGCCTCTGTCTCTCTCAGTTTCTCTCTCTGTCTCTGTCTGTCTTTCCTGTGTCTCTCAGTTTCTCTCTCTGCCTCTGTCTCTCACGGTTTTTCTCTCTGCCTCTGTCTCTCTCTGTTTCTCTCTCTGTCTCGCTCAGTTTCTCTCTCTGCCTCTGTCTCTGTTTCTCTCTCGCTCTCAGTTTCTCTGTCTCTCTCTGTCTCTCTCAGTTTCTCTTTCACTCTCTGTTTCTCTCTCTCGCTCTCAGTTTCTCGCTCTGTCTCTATCTGTCTCTCTCTCCTGTCTCTCTCTGTTTCTCTCTCTGCCTCTGTCTCTCTGTTTTTCTCTCTGCCTTTGTCTCTCTCTGTTTCTCTCTCTGTCTCGCTCAGTTTCTCTCTCTGCCACTGTTTCTCTGTTTCTCTCTCTCCGTTTCTCTCTGTCTCTGTCTGTCTCTTTCTCTCTCTATCTCTCTCAGTTTATCCCTCTGCCTCGGTCTCTCTATGTTTCTCTCTCTCTCGCTCACAGTTTCTCTCTGTCTCTGTCTCTCTCTCTGCCTCTCTGTTTCTCTCTCTCTCGCTCTCAGTTTCTCTCTCTGTCTCTGTGTCTCTCTCTCCTGTCTCTCTGTTTCTCTCTCTGCCTCTGTCTCTCAATTTTCCTCTCTGCCTCTGTCTCTCTGTTTCTCTGTCTCTCTCAGTTTCTCTCTCTGCCTCTGTCTCTGTTTCTCTCTCTTGCTCTCAGTTTCTCTCCCTTTCTCTGTCTCTCTCTCTGTCTCTCTGTTTCTCTCTCTGCCTCTGTCTGTTTCTCTCTCTCTCTCTCTCTGTTTCTCTCTCTATCTCTGTCTATCTCTCTCTGTCTCTCTCAGTTTCTCTCTCTGCCTGTCTCTGTTTCTCTCTCTCTCGCTCTCAGTTTCTCTCTCTGTCTCTCTATTCTCTGTCTCTCTCTCTGTTTCTCTCTCTCCCTCTGTCTTTCTCAGTTTCTCTCTCTGCCTCTGTCTGTTTCTCTCTCTCTCGCTCTGTTTCTTTCTCTGTCTCTGTCTGTCTGTCTCTGTCTCTGTTTCTCTCTTTGCCTCTGTCTCTCTCTGTCTGTCTCTCTCCCCCTTTGTTTCTGTCTATCTCTATCTCTCTGTTTCTCTCTCTCTCTCTCCCTGTTATGTCTATCTCTCTGTCTCTATCTGTTTCTCTCTCTCTGTCTCTCTTTGTTTCTCTCTCTGTTTCTCTCTGTTTCACTTTCTCTGTTTCTCTCTGTCTCTGTCTCTCTTTGTTTCTCTCTCTGTCTGTTCCTATCTCTCTCTGCCTCTCTTTGTCTCTCTGTCTATCTCTGTCTCTCTCTCTCTCTCTGTCGCTCTCGATTTCTCTCTGTCTCTGTTCCTCTCTCTCTCTGTCTCTCTCAGTTTCTCTCTCTCTGTGTCTCTCTGGGTTTCTCTATATCTGTCTGTTTCTCTCTCTCTCTCTCTCTCCTATCTCTCGATTTCTCTCTCTCTCTCTCTGTTTCTCTCACTATGTTTTTCTCTCTCTGCCTCTGTCTCTCTGTTTCTCTCTGCCTCTGTCTCTTTCTGTTTCTCTCTTGCTCTCAGTTTCTCCCTCTGACTCTGTCTCTGTATGTTTCTCTCTCTCTCTCTCTCTCGGTTTCTCTCTCTCTCTCTGCCTCTCTCTGTTTCTCTCTCTCTCACTCTCAGTTTCTCTCTCTGTCTCTGTCTCTCTCTCCTGTCTCTCTGTTTCTCTCTCTGCCTCTGTCTCTCTGTTTCTCTCTGCCTCTGTCTCTTTCTGTTTCTCTCTTGCTCTCAGTTTCTCCCTCTGACTCTGTCTCTGTATGTTTCTCTCTCTCTCTCTCTCTCGGTTTCTCTCTCTCTCTCGGTTTCACTCTCTCTCTCTGTTTCTCTCCTTGCCTCTGCCTCTCTCGGTTTCTCTCTCGCGTGCCCTCAGTTTCTCTCTGTGTCTCTGTCTCTCTCTCTCTCCTGTCTCCCTCAGTTTCTCTCTCTGCCTGTCTCTCTGTTTCTTTCTCTCTCTGTTTCTCTCTCTGTCTCTGTCTCTCTGTTTCTCTCTCTCTCTCTGCCTCTCTCTGTTTCTCTCTCTCTCACTCTCAGTTTCTCTCTCTGTCTCTGTCTCTCTCTCCTGTCTCTCTGTTTCTCTCTCTGCCTCTGTCTGTTTCTCTCTCTGTCTC